CGCGGAGGGTGGGAGGTGGAGATCTGCCAGGGTTGAGAGCGTTGATGCCATGGTGAGGGTGGATTGCAGGATCCTTCGGGCTTCGGGGAGGACTTGTGATGGTGGAATGCGGGCATTATCACTGACGACATTGAGAACGATGGAGTCTGTTGAGCCGGTATTCGACAGGTATTGGCCAGTCTCCTTGTCCACGGCAACACTGCGCAGCAAGCAGTGTCGGAATGTTAGATAACGTGGGTTCTTGACACGCGGTTGATGCACAGCTTACCGCTAGTTGCTCATACCAGCCGCATGCATATGCGTGCTACCCTCCGTATCGTGATAGCAGAGTGGGTAAGCGGAGTTCATGAAAGGAAAGTCCGGCCGCAGCCAGAGTTTGGCCGGCTGCCCCCCAAAAGCAGGCCCTGTCTCTTCATTCGAACACTCATCAGGCATTTTGCGGGACGTCCAGACAGACAAGCTACTGAGAATATTGAGTCGATTTGAACCGAATTTGAACCGAGATGTTATGCTTTTCTATGTAGTTTTTGACGGGCCTCATTTTCTGCATGCATTGAAGTATTTCCTGCAACATCCTGCAAGAAAGGTTCCCATCGTCCGTATCGAATTCTTTTTCGAATCCTCGGGTTTTAAAGGCAAGTCATCTTCCCAGACTAGGAAGGTTGGTGGGAGATGGAGCAGGGGGTTCAACGACCTCAAGAGCCAGACCAGCTGCACCTCAACTACATACTGGCTTAGCTTCGATAAAGTCTCAATATAAGAGCAGTCTTTCTTCTTATAAGTAAACTGCAATATCATTGGAACTTGAAGTATGAATACTAACATCGTCATCGCGATCTATGAATGCCACTCACTTAGATAGACGCTGAATGAATCATCCTGTACTGTAATCCTCATTTCTATCTAAGAAGCAAAAACAAAAAACAAATGCAGTCCATAAAGATCAAAGTTTTCAGCAAAATAATGTTGATTTCATCAGACTTCTAGTCTAGTTATGTGCAATTTCCCCATCTGTGAATACAGCTATTTACGTTGTTGAGAAGCAGCCACACTCTGACAGATCCGATAGATGATACGTGTACTTTGGGCATGTGTCAATAACGGCGAGAAACTTTGAATTTACTGTTCGGAAGTCTGACTTGAAAGAGGACCATAGAAACCCAGATTTGAACCCACAGACTCAACTCACTTCTTGGCAATTTCCCAGATTGGTCACCGACTACACCGGTGGCTACGCTCGGTAAGCCTCGGTGAGACTCGGTATGGAAGCTCTGCTTTGGTGCCGGAAGAAGATTTAGCCCCGGGAATGCCGAGTTCCCTTTGCCGAACCCAATTGCCATGGGGTGCGGGTCCCCCACTTCGGTGTCGAGGATCAAGCTGGGGAAATGTAGGGGAAGAGCTATTCTCCCCCGCCCCGGTACTTCAGCCAAAGCTACCCCCGAAGAACCGACATCGCTCACGTTTATCCGACTTGTTTTCGTTAGTTTTCTTGTCTCTTTTCCTTTTTGTTACTCTCCATCTCTTGTACAATACCAATTCCTCCCGTAATTCACTGTGTTCACTGTCAATTGGAAGAGCAGAAGCTCCGGGTGTCTCATTTAACATAGCAACCATGTCGCTCCCCAAGGGAATCTCCTCTGTGCTCAAGAAGGCGCCTTCCGACGTCGTCATCCTGTCGTCGCTGCGAACCCCCGTCTGCCGCTCGTACAAGGGACAGCTGAAGGACGCATACCCCGAAGAGCTGCTTTCCACCGTCCTCAAGGCCACTCTCGAGGCCAACCCGAACCTCGACCCCGCCAAGATTGAAGATGTCGCCGTCGGCGTCGTGCTCTCGGAGCTCGGTGGCTCCAAGGCCGCCCGCATGGCCATGAACCACGTCGGTTACCCCAACACGACCTCCCTCTACACCGTCAACCGCGCCTGCTCCTCGTCATTGCAGTCAATTGCCCTTGTCGCATCGCAGATCCGAACCGAGACGATATCCGTGGGAATTGGCGCTGGTATGGAGAGCATGACCCGCAACTACGGCAGCCGTGCGATTCCCGTCGACGTGTGGCCGGAACTGAAGGATTCTCCGGTCAAGGATGCTAGAGACTGCATCATGGCCATGGGCACTACTTCAGAGAACGTCGCTGAGCGCTATGGTGTTTCCCGCGCGGACCAAGATGCATTCGCCCTTCGCAGCCACCAGAATGCGTCGCGCGCAGCAAGTGATGGCTCCTTCGCCAAGGAGATCGTCCCAGTGAAGACGAGGTTCCAAGAGAAGGATAAGCAGGGAAACAATGTCGGGGAGGAGAAGATTATTACCGCCACTCAGGACGACGGTATCCGCGCGAACATCAGCATCGAGGCTTTGGCCAAACTGAAGCCCGCTTTCAAGGCGGACGGTGCTAGCACGGCTGGCAACTCATCGCAAGTTTCCGACGGTGCCGCCGCGACTCTGTTGATGCGCCGAAGCACCGCAACTGAGCTGGGCCTTACTGATAGCATTATCGGCAAGTTCGTTTCGGCTACCACTGTCGGTTGCAAGCCCGACGAGATGGGTATTGGCCCGGCCATTGCTATCCCCAAGCTGTTGAACCAGCTCGGACTGGAGAACAAGGATGTCAGCCGCTGGGAGATCAACGAGGCTTTCGCCAGTCAGGCCATCTACTGCCTGAGAGCCTTGGGCTTGGAGCAGGCTTATGAGGACGGCAAGGTGAACCCCGACGGTGGAGCTATCGCTCTTGGTCACCCTCTGGGTGCCACGGGAGCCCGCATGACCAGCACCCTGTTGCACGGCCTGGGCCGATCTGGTGGCGAGGTCGGTGTTGTCAGCATGTGTGTCGGTACCGGCATGGGAATGGCTGGCTTGTTCGTGAGGGAGTAAGAAAAGAAAACAACACGATACCAAAGAATGACTTCATGTAAAGTTATGACTATGAGAAATACATAAGGTTCAGATACCACAGCCAAGCTAGGGCTCGCAGTTACATGACTTGTGGTACAATGTCGCCGGTGACTTTTCTCAGGCGATTTGCGAGGCGTATTTATGCATGGCGTGGGCGCAGTCATGCATGTCTCTCCCAAGTGCCGCCATTGAGGGATTTCCTAAGTAACAGCTTGTGTTACTATGAAAGCACCAGCCCGGTCATCATGGGGCAAGCTGTTAGGGCATAAATGATAAAAGTCTTCCCTCTCTGACCACCACACGTCCGACCTCAGGCATCCGCGGCTATCTAGCATTCACAGGACCTTTTCACGAGGGAATCCGCAAGGATGGAAGTCATAGGCGTTGCGGCAAGCTTCATCGCCATTGGGCAGGCATTGATTGCTGGGCGTCATGTCGTGCATCTGTTGCAGAAGATACCGAGGATAGGAAATGAGTTGGCTTCTCTCAACAATGAGGTATGTTCGCGTCTAGGAAAGCATTAAGTGAATATGATTAAATACTCCATGTTTCTGAGTAAGCTGACTCACTGAATCATTCACACCTCAGATAGAGAGCCTTAGAGCTGCGGTCGAGGCCGCCGAGCTTCGAGGAGTGGCGTCTTTGAGAGGCACCCCTGAGACGCCTGATCTCAGGCTAGCGAGAACTCGGCTAGAAGAGACTGCGAAAGATCTTGAAAATATTCGCCAGCACTGTACGCGAACTATAGACGACGGAGGCAAGATCAAGGCGAAGAAAACCAGGTGGTTCCTGTTACAGAGTGATTTGAGAGAGTGTCGTGGCAAGATCCGCGATGCTCGAGGAAATCTTCAGCTCGCCCTGCTGACTCTGAACTTACGAGAGACTTCGTGCGTATACAGATTTTAACAGTTGGGTCTCGTGATGCTAATGATCACTGTCTAGGCAAATCGCACTCCGTGTTGAGAACTTTACTATTCACTCAGTCGGTCAGAAGCCACCCACACTTGAAGCAACTGAGAGCGCAGGAGAAAATCTTCCTCTTGGCCCGCCCGCACCGCCATCTCTCGCCCAGATACAGCCTGTCGGTACGCCAATTCAAAATATCACACAGCAATTGGGCCAACTCACCGTCTCAAAATTTTCAGATGGGCCACATACGTCCCGACCATCTCTAGAGACGGAAATGATCGTTTTCAGGGGAAAGCTGTCCATAGCTTCTGGCTGCCCTTGCCCCTGTTGGTGCCGCTGCCATGTCACAAAATCAACGTTCTTTGAGCCGGCAGGCTGGGCTCGAAATCTTTTAGGGTCCTTTTCTATCACATACAATCAACGTGCAATTTTCGGCAGAGCTGTTGAATGCAGTCAGACTAACTGCAAAGGAAACCAGAAGACGTCAACTACATTTGATTTCAAGTTCCCAGCTTGGTTCTTCTCCCGGTATATATCCTTTCGGGCCTCTATGAACACTTCCACCGGATGGAGGGTATCGCTGCGACCCGTCAGGGTTCTCTCCGACTCAGCACCAATATGGCACATTCTTCAAATGAGAACAAGAACAGAAGTACAGGAGTACATGCTACGTCATGGACCGTTATTTCCTGACGATTATCACCATAGTGGAGGTTACGGTCTTCTAGAGGTAATAAATGCTTCTCATTCCCTTATCTCCGACGAAGGTCGCTCACTCTTGAAAACGGAACGTAGTGCGCTATATCTGCGGCAACACCTAATGTCTTGGAGTTTTTGGTGCAATTTTGGAACGAGGAGCTCCGAAAGGAAACTTACAACCAGTGAGTGCCCCTCAAAGGCATTTTTAGCTCTGGAAAGGTTTCTCACGTGGCTGCTACATAGTTGGAGTTTGACAGCTCAAGTGCGTAGAGAACTTGCCGACAGGCCGAGAGCCTCCTCTCAGAAGTCGGATTCATATCGACGAATCATCTTTTATGGCGAAGATATCTCCGGCGCAGCACAAACGCCCCTGCACCAAGCAGCTTGCAGTGATCCGGGCGACGCAGACGCCGGAGAAGCAATTCGAAAGGCCTTTGGTCAGTATCCATGGGCAATTGCCCAGTGGAATCATGAAGGAAGGACGCCATTAGAACTAGCCGCAATGTACGGCAACCTGAAAGCTCTACAAGAGCTTATCAATTTGGGATGTGACGTCAACCAGTCAACCTTCTCTGGTCGTACAGCACTCATGGGAGCAGCACAAATGGGCCATATTCACGTGGCTAAATGTTTGCTCAGTTCCGGTTGCTCCTCAAATGCAAGGTCTTTGAAGGGCGGCTCGGCGATGCACTTCGCCGTATGTCCCATGAATGAGCCTGCGGATGACCCACCGGGTATGATTAGAGTACTACTTGCAGCGGGTGCCTCAGCGACGGCTGTGGATCTACTCGGAAATACGGCACTGCATCTATTGGATGACTCGAGATTCGGCAGCGATGCAACGGGAACGAAAATTCGCTTGCTTGTGGAAGCCGGAGCTGACATTAACGCGCGGAATAACGATGGCGGATCGGCATTATTCCGTGCGATTCGCCGCAACCAACCACAGGTCGTAAGTTGCCTCCTCAACGCCGGCGCAGCGACAGAGAACTATCGACAGCTAGGCGGTAGCCTCCTTCATGATGCAGCACTATATGCTGGCTTGGAAGTCCTGAGATGTCTTGAGGGTATGAAAACGTCTCGAATGAAAGCAGATGTGTTAGACGCTGAAGGGGACAGCCCCTGGGATTGCTTCATTTACGTCCTGAAACTTCCAGAGTGGGAGCTAGGCTCGCTTCGAAAGCCTGAACAGGAAGAGAAGGAATATTTTGTCTCACTATACAGGACCATCCGAGATCGCGATTTACAGCTTGACATTGACAGGCTCGAATGGACACGCCGCTATCTCGTGGACAAGGACGCACGAGCAGCTAGCGCGCTGGAACAACTGGTTCAAGAAAACGAAACATTGGGACAATGGAGCTTGGTAAGAACATTTAAAACAATTGCCTTGCAAGTAAGAGAAAAGATGTGGGACGCTGCGGTAGAAGCGGTGGAGGAGAATATAGATCTCCTACAGGCGAGAATGAATCAATCGCCGTGGCTTCAAACATCGCGGTACGATTACATGGGTAGTATGGAATTGGACCACAAGAGATGAAAGTTGTGTCCAGGATAATAGAACTGTCTCAACCCTGCAAGATTGAAGAAGGTAGGCGGCAGTAGCGATGTAGAGGGTCGTGAGAGAAGTCGCGCCGTTAGAAAATTCAATACGTACCTTGGCCAGGAAGAGAATATTATGTGAAGTGAGACTCCTTTGCTGACAGGTCACATGAAGCGTGAGATTCAACGCCGACATGTCTAGTCAGCATGCAGGTAATACTCAAGTCCGAATGAACATACCTGGAGGGTTGCAAGCTGAGTGATTGAGTGCGAGCCCGTTCATCTTCTACTGGCTGGCGGTTGTCTATGACATAAGACGCCCACCCTGGGCTCATGAACGGTCGTACTTTCTGTTATCAAAGTGCAATATGTGTAATCATGCGGCCTCATGCGTAGGGGTCTTGGGGGTGTTTTACTCCAGCCATGATATGTGTGATATGTGCCTCATACGCACAGGAAACTGAACTGACGTAACTAGTCCGAGCTATTTCCACATAAATGATGTCCGAGAGCTTCAAAAATTCCTAATAGATTATAGGGCTGGATACGGTAAGTACGTTTCGCATACTAAACACGACCCTGCCTGCCTAGTCCGGGATAGACTACACGTAGTCGGCGTAAGGGGTGTCTTATGTCTCGGCCCAAAGGCTATAAAGGCTGCATCAATCCCGGGAAAATATTCACCATGAATGTTATTCCAGACGGATATCTTTCTATAATTCAGAAACTTCACCGAAGATGTCTGTTGCCAAGACTGCAACCATGATGCCTCAGCATACGACTCCAGCGCCTGTTCCCGCTTCAAGCCTAAGTGGGAATCCAGTTAAGGTAGGAATGGATTGGTTTTGTTCAGATAATATCGCAGTCTCCTACGTTGCCCAGTTGCTAATTGTGAAGGACACTCAGGCTGAGATTGATCCAAGACCAAGTGCACTGATATTGGACCTTGGTGGTGTTCTCTGTAACTTCTCTGCTCCCCTAGGCGCTCCGATTCCACCCAAGCAATTCAAATATATCCTTGAATCTGCTGAGTGGCACACCCTTGAGTCAGGCAAAGGAACTGCTTCAGAAGTGTACAAATCGCTCACAGAGAGGTTTGGACTGAATGAAGGCGCATTGGAGGAGACGGTCCGCCAGGCATCGTTGACGTTGACACTCAATGACGACTTCGTGGTGGCTATCAGGAAGCTAAAGGCAGATTCCAACACCAAACTCCGAGTGTTTGCTGCAACCAATATGTCGAAAGATAGCTACGACACCGTTCGTGCAAAGCTAGGGGGTTGGGACATCTTCGACGATGTGTTCACGTCAGCCAGACTTGGTGTTCGCAAACCAGAGAGAGACTTTCACAATCGAGTCCTCGAGTTCGCTGGTGTAGCTGCTGACTCTACAGTCTTTATTGACGATCGTACCGAGAATGTCATCTGTGCTCAGTGCTGCGGGATGCGTGGCGTCCTCTTCGACAACACCGAGAGTGCAGTGCGGAAGCTTCATTCCCTCTTCGGTGACCCCGTCCAGCGCGGCAGATCATGGCTTCAGACTCACGCAAAGGACATGTGGTGCATGTCCAGCACTGGGTTGGAGATACGAGAGCAGTTCCAGCAGCTACTCCTGCTGCATCTCACGAACGACTGGTAAGTACTTGCGCGAATAGGATAAGTCTACAAGCAAATTCCTGACGACTTCCACGTAGGGATCTTGTCTAAATCGGCCAGCTGAATCCTCCCGAGGGTCGTTGGAATTGTTTTGCCTACGGCCCACCGGTTTTAACTACAGCCATATATCCCGATGACTTGGACACCACCTGTTTGGCTCTCCTCAAACTTGATGTTCCAGAGAGCATCAAACAAAAGACAATGGACGACATGTTGCAGTATATGAACCCAGATGGCCTAGCATATGTAAGCGATGCATTCGCCGGGAACGGCTTAGGAAAGACTAATAATCGACAATTAGTGTTACTTTGATTCCAGCAGGCCGCGCCTGGATCCCTTCATCTCGGCCAATGTGCTACGCCTTTTCTATGCCAACGGGCGAGGCACCCAGCTCCAGTCTGCACGCCGCTTCATGGAAGACATGCTCCGCACTGGGGCATTCGAGCATGGTACTCGCTATTACCACCTGCCGGATTTTCTTCTGTACTATCTCAGCGATCTGTGCGCGAAGAATCCTGACGCTGATGAGCTTGACTCTCTTCGCGATTTGGTTTGCTGGCGCCTCATAGACCGTATGGGTTCTACACACGATGCATCCAGTGCTGCTTTGCGTTTAGTGTCATCAAACAATATGCAGTTGGTCAACAATCTAGACAGGAAAACATTGTTGGAATTACAGCACAGCGATGGCAGATGGACAGGAGATATCTATCGATACGGGTCAACCGGGATTCTTTTCTCTAGCGAGGGGCTGGTGACGGCTTTGGCAGTCATTGCACTTGAGAGCAATCTCGCCAATAACCAGGCCTTCAATTCTGGACACTAAACGTCTTCAGATAACACACCTTTATGCTCCATAACCTACGACTGAGCTATGGCTCGAGCTAGTAGAATATTGAAATGCAATGTCTGGACTAAAGTTGAAAACCCGAGGTATTGTACCTGGATCATTTCAAAAGGCGTACGGTTCATCCGAAGTGGGATCGCTGCAGTAGAAATATTGACCGGATCAGATGAACGAATGGTTGTTTTGATTAAGTATAGACATTATGGGTGTATCTACGGTTGCCACCCAAGCAATATTTTATGTACCCAAAATCAGTCCCTTGCGCCTCTAATTGCTCATGCTGTAGACATAACGAAAGCTGAGAGGACTATCCTCTAGTACTTCCAGCCGAAGATACCCTTAAGCCAGCCAAGAACGTTGTTGATAAGACTGCTGATATTGCCACCGTTGCGGAGCTCATCGGCAATCTTGGCAACGCGGTCCTTGGTAGCCAGCCACTTGTCCATAGCAGCCTGATCAGGGGCAACGAAGCTGCCGGTCTTGGCAGGCAGGGCCTTGGAGCAATCAGTGAGGTCGTTGATGTTGTTAACACCGAGGAGAGACAGGCGAATGTATTCGCGGGCATAGTCCTTCAGAGCATGTTAGTGACTGAGTGGCATCTCCAATCGGGAAAGGGTATCTTACCTGGTTCCAGTGAGCCTGGCCGCCAGAGCCAGCAAAGGCCTGGAACTCGGCGCTGATGCGGGAGTCCTTGGAGAGAACGACATCGGAAGCGAACTTGAAGACACGGGCCGGGGCAGAGCCGAGGGTCTCGGCGTAGAACTTGACGTCCCAGACACCGGGAGTGCTGTCCTGTGGGTCACCGGCGCGGCTGGGGTCAACGAAGCGCTGCTGGCTTGTGGTGTGGGCGCCGATGAGGGCGGTGAGGCCGTGGGGCTTGATGGTCTTGTTCTCGAACAGCTCAATCAGGAAGTCGGCGGAGCCGGTGACGGGAGGGAGAAGGTCGTTGGGGCATGGCTTGGAGGAGTCCTTGCGGCCGACGTATGTGCGGATACGGGGGCCAAGAGGGCAGACGACAGTGGCGACGTTGGCGGAGAACTGAATAAGATCGGCCATACCGATGCCAAACTGCTTGTACTGGTTGTACCAGACCTGAGTCTGAGCGACGATCTCCTGAAGCCCGTTGTTCTCGCCACGGCTCATCTCCTCGGCAGCCAGAATGATGGAGCCATCGGCGCCGCCAAAGTCACCCGTGAACTTGGACCAGCCGCCGGCATCGTGGAAGCCGAGACGGACAGCGGCACGGGCAAAGTCGGTGCAACGGCCGGACTTGCCCTTGAACACACCCTGAAGGTCGTTGGCGATATACTTCCAGATGCAGCATGTGTCGGCAGCGCAGGCGGGCGTGCCCTTGGCGGCGAGGTTGTTGGCCTTGCCGGAGGTGACATAGACATCAGTGCTCTCGGGGCTGATATCGTTGCCAAGAAGGATAGACTTGACGGTCTTGCCCACGGGGGTGAGCTTGGAGTCGTCGAGGGTGGCGAGGTCACCAATCAGCTCGGCGGAGTCGAAGTCGTCATTGTCGGCGCCGCCGCCGTCCGCATCAACACGGGCGCGGATTTCGGAGAAGGTGTTCCTCATGCCTGGGTAGGCAGAGACGGAGGTGGCCGCGAGGGCTGCGGTAAAGAGAGTCACACGCATATTGACTGTGGTTAACGAAGGTAGGTATTAGGAAAGTGAGTGTACTGATATTGCTGTGAAAGCCGTTGCGTGTAAGAAAGAAAGGACGACTATTCAAAGTCGGAATGATAGTGAGAGAGAGGCGGGAGAGCGGATAAGGCGTGAGATGGTGTTCCAAAAGCTGCGACAGACGGGGCATCGCGGCTTCATTATATCCTCATCAATAGCTCAGCAGCCCGACGACCGTGCTCACCTCTGGACAAGTCTATTCTTGGCGAGAAGAGCCCATCGTGAAGCTTGGGTGTGGAGATGAGCAGCCCGCCGTCACGCTGGCTAGCCCCGGGGCGTCTCGGGGCCGTCAACGTTGTTAGTGAAGGCTTGCTTTTTTTTCTTCGTCGTCTGCTTCCTCTCGTATTGGGCCGAGCAGGCCCGGTCCGAGCACAGTAACACTGCTGCTTCGCCTCCACGAAGTTATGCTGAAGAAGACGGGAATCATCCTGGCCGTGATTGGACAGGTTAAGGCGGTTCCTGACGGTGGCTGACCAGGATGAGAAGAGGCGTCGACGGCGAGTAAACAAAGAGGTCTGTGTGACGGCTACGACTCAACACACCGAGTTCTATTGTTCCTTCTGACCGTTTGTTGTGGTTTTTCTGAAGACCCTGTTGCATATTGCCTTGTCCAGAATAACAGCAACTCAAGGCAGGGAATGTAGAAACATCGTACAACGCTGCTGGGTGGTGGCCGAGCATCTGATTCCTCGTATCCTACCGATGCACCCATCATCCCATCATCCTGCAAGATGACCCTGGAACAGACTGCGGGACGAGCTGCAAAACACTACTTAGCTCCCGATTGATATTGGATCTATGCCGAATGCGATATCCAGAAGGAGAAGCCTTGCCCGTTCCGGCATGCATATCTCGACTCAAGAGCCAGGGGGGGCACCTTTGTTCAGGGGCAATACAAAGGTCCATCGCAATCCCGCAGAGGGAGCCATTGTTTTAGCGTTGCAGGCGGGATTCAGCCGCTAATCCGATGTTGCAGTTAGCACCCTAACGGTGCGGCTTGGCCTGCGAGTTGCCCTGAAACATTAGCTCAGATGTGCTAAGAAAAGGGAACACGAACGTCACTGGCCCGAACATGCTTCCCCAGGGTCGATGGCCGTTTTTTGTCGTCCGATGCTTGTCTTTAGTTTTCTGGTCTTGCTGGTGTCTTGTGTCTTGGAATGTGAACGAACTTTTTTAACGCTCGGATGAGAAGCCGATGGATTGGGTCGCCCAATAACACGGTTTTTATTTTCAAGCTGCAGTAGTAAGAGGATCCATCTTGCAGGAGAGTCTTCCTCTTGTGCGATTCAGTGCTGCTTACTGCGTAATCCTCTCAGGTGGATGTCCGTATGTTGTTGCCATGGAAGACTTGACTCATTCGACCCGACTGAGACACGCGATTCTTCTTTCCCTGCTCTTAACAGCCAACCCGTTCTCCAACTCAACTCCCGCCAACACAACGTGCCAAATTCCTTTGACCAAGACCGATGGCTTGATTTCACAATGTCTCTCATCAGCCTTGTGGCAGTTTATTTTCCACAAATGTCATGCCAAGACTTCTGACAATCCACGACCCTGATCGGCGCCTTAACTTGTCAACACCAAGGTTCGCCTCCAGCTGAAGGGAGCGTTGCTGACATTCCGCCGGCTCAGACTGGTCGGACACCCCAGGGCTGAGAAATTAAGCTTCAATGCACAGTTTTCTAGCCCCGAGTCTTCTTTTAAGATTCCGCACAACGGACCTCGGTCGAGGGGGGCCAAGTCTCTGACCATCAAAGACAATACGGCCACGGCGCTAGCCCGCCTTTGTCTGTTTCGCGTGTCTTTGACCTCCCGTCCTTTGCTCGTGCTTGGCGCCTAGCTCCCTCTGGTCGGCCCGCGGAGGATCGTCAGGGGGGTTAATCTCACCCGGTTCCTCCTCGATGCCATTCTTGGCAACGGATGTCATCCTGGTGAATATCATGCTATCCGCATCTTTCCACGCGAGCTTCACCCGGCTGGGAAAGGATTGGTTTGACCAAAGTTTCCCGTGTCCTCTTGGTCCAGCTGCCAGTATCCTCCTATCTCCCGGAAGGTTTGCTCGAATCCGGGGAGGATCTCGTTCAGGTCTCGCGCCTGGACGTCGAACATGTCGGTACACTGGGCGGCCTCGAACTTGTTGGAATGGTCAGGCATGTAAGCCGCTCCGTCGAACTTTATGGCGACGTTAATGTTCACCCCTGGACTCTCTTCGCTCGGCGACCTCTTGTAGTGTCGAAGATAGCCTCCCTTAACATCGCGATTCCACCTCATCACCTCCAGAGACACTGTCTTCACTAGTCCGCCGTGCAGAAACGCCACTCTCCCGTCATCCGGATGATGCTGCGCGAACGAATGACCGCAGTAAAACCCATCGTTTTCCGTGCCAACGCTCGTAACCCACTTCTTGGGCTTCCCAAAGTTTGTTTTTAGGGCATGCCATGCGAAGCGGAACATATCCTTGTCGCCCAGCAGAATCTCGTTATAGTACTTCCCCTGATCGTTGTTCAGCCATGACGCTAGTTGGAGATGATACCAGAATCGCGTTTTGTCGACCAATAGCTGCCCGCTTTCTTGCTCGTATTCGGCCATCCGGCAAGGTGTGTTGAAGATAGCCCAAACAGGATTCTGGGGCCGTGTACGTGCGATGTCTGGCCAGAATACGGAATGGTACTCTTGATATTGAATCGAATCGTACAGGGTCGCTGGGTCCAGAATGGGAATGTTGTCTGAATCTAGCAGGATCGGCTCAGCCCACCGAGAATTTAGCAAAGCTGCCGTCTTCAGCTGGTAGTTGATTCCAAAATATCCGTCCTTCTTGATGTGGATAATGTTATGCGGCTTCGACAGGTCGTTGTAGTAGATCGGGGTGTACAGCGCATTGAGTTCTGCCATTGCGCCAATGTCCATTTCTGTGTCCCAGTACTGAATCTCGATAGGAATAGTTGACCCCAGTCTATTCAGCTGTCGAAGGATCACCTTGACGCGCATGATCGTGTCCGCATTGCCAGCAACAATGACCAAACCTCTTCCCAGAAACCGATCCTTTACGGTCGTGTATGGTATCATGCCCTTCTGAACAAAGTCGTGCCACTCGCGTCGGCGCAGCTCTATCTCCAACACTGGCCGGTCCTCGAGAACCCACTCCAGCGTATCGGAGAATTGAAAGTCGACAAACACGTCCGCTGGCCACGTGCATGTTGCGCGGGCTTCTCGCTGAGAGATTCCCTTCTCTTGAATGACTGCCGCAAAATGTGGAAGAAACTCATCCGCCGTCGCTAACTTGTGCGCATCGGGAACGAGTTGTACTGGCTGTGTTGGGGGCTGTCCATTGAGGGCGTCGTTGATCATCGGGATTTCAACATGGTCGGGAGGTACATCGATCTTGGGAGGTGAGTCCGTCGAGGGATTTTCGGGCGGCGGGAAATCCATCCATTGTGCTGGCTCTGATTCTGGCCTCGCGTTTTTCCCGCTCCTGAAAAGCAGAATGAGCACACAAGTGATGAAGAGTGCGAAAATGATGCGCGTCCGCTTGATTCCTGCCATTTCTGCGACGGCTGGTGCCCCGGGCAAAAACACGAGAGAATCAAGTCGGGAATCGGCTCGCAGCGAACCTGGGCATCGCCCTCATTTGAATCTCTGGCTCCAACAAGAAACCAAGGCCCTTAGGTGTGACTGATCATCTTGACCAGCTCAATTGCTCGCCTCGGTCCCAGCCATCCCATATGCGCTGATCTCCATGTGAAGCGTACAGGGGTGTTCCCCCGCGTGCGCAATCCCCTGGTGCGTGATTGCGTCGTGCGGGGTTCGTCGTATCCTTGATGGCGCCGTCAGAAGCTTGGTTCTCAGCAGATTATCATCACAGCACGCTCATTGGCCGGGTCCTGGGCGTCATCTCCGTCATCCCGCCCCCGCATGTCGCGGGAATGCAGGTGAAGCGGTGTATGATTCGGCCAAGGATGGTCGCTAGCGGCCGAGGCGGTATCACTGCATCAGTCGTAGGAAGATCCTGAAGACTTCACACGTGCTCATTGAAGTAATCAAAGTCAAATGTCCAGTAGAATAAGTATCTGTAAGGAATGAGAACTTCGCCCATCTACAGCTTCGCTCGGCCCTGCCCAAGGTTGTCCCAGTCGTCCTGCGTAAATGGAACGTAGGTGTTCCCCTTGCCGTGCTTCTCAATCCATAAAAGCTGATCTCCACCCTCGATTTTGCTCGGGTCAACGCCTTGGTTCTTCAATGGCACCTTGTTCTGCTTGTTGTTGTGGCTGGCTTGGCTTGCATTCAATAGCCTAACGAAAATGGGCACGGCATATCGTGGCAACCGGGATCGCGAGTACCTACAAGTCTTAGAGTCAAAGAAGCAAGGGTCTTGGGATGAGATACGTACCTCAGGAAGTCAGCGAAGTTGAAGGACGCCTTCTTGTCTGGAGCGATATCCAGAGCTGCCGCGCCAGCTTTTCCATCGTGGCCAGGGAGGGAAACACCGTAAACAACTGCTTCATTCACACCGGGGTATTCTCCGAGCACTTCCGACACTTCAGCTGTAGACACGTTCTCACCCTTCCACCGGTAGGTGTCCCCGAGTCTTTTCAAATCATGTCAGGTTATGTCCATCGACCGCATCAGGAAAGGAACTCACCGATCCAAGAAGAACCATCTGCCATCAGCATCCCGTCTCAGAGAATCACCAGTGCGATAGAAGATGTCCCCCTTCTTCAAGACATCCCTCACGTACTTCTTGTCCGTTGCATCGGGATTGTTGAAATAACCTGGAAACGCCCTCTCACCTGGGTGTTCTACCAATATTTCTCCGCCAGTCTCATAAGACATCCGGATCGCCAGCCCTGTCTTAGGATCTCTTTGGACTTCACCAGTCTCCGTATCAATGGCGACAGGAACATACATGTTTCTGTACTTGAGTCGAAGTAGCAAGCCGTGGTGGCCAACAGCGTTGGCAAAGAAATCTCCTCGTGAAAGGTTGCGCAGCCCCAAGGCACCCTCAGTACTGTTGTAGAACTCGCAAACAGTGTCAACACCAAATCGTTCTTGGAATCGTCTCCATACATCTGGACGACAGCCGTTTCCGAAGACGGCATGGACGTTGTGTTCTTTATCCCGCGGGGAAGGCGGCGCGGCGAGGAGGTATCGCAGCGTTTCGCCGACGTAGACGAACCAGGTCGCATTTGAGTCACGAATGTCGTCCCAGAATGTCGATACACTGAACTTTGGAGCCATACAAACCGTGGATCCCGACTGCGTGGTGGTAAGAAAGAGGTTTTCAAAGGATGGGGAGGTTTCTCACAAGTATCTGTGACATCATCGTGATGCCGCCGGTCCCATGATAGTATGGCTGTTGGCGATGGTCAGAGGTATCCCGAAACAGGAGCCGTGAACGATAACATACCATGCAAATGTAGCATCGTTCGCTGTTACCAGCAGTCGGATGGAATCCCAAGTCATTCTGATCTAATTAGGTCCCCAAAACCAAGCAATGCCAGTCATACTGGGACTTGCCTGTAGTGATAAGCTTGCCGCGGCGGCCGCAGGGAACAGCACAGCTTTAGGCAGACCAGTCGTTCCGCTGCATCTATTAGTCAAAGTCACTGAGAGTCATCGTAGTATTTACCTGGTATAGAAGAGAGCCATCGCGTCACCCGGCATCATTCCCTTCCGGAGATTATCATGCGGCCGTACCGGATCCATTTGATAGACCCTCGGCTTCTCCTCGGCCAAGTTGATAAGCTTGATCCCCTTCATGTCGAGCTCGGTGTTTACGTCCTGGTACTTCGCCGCGACCTCCGCTGATCCGTCCACAAGGACAAGTTTCGCCGTGCTGATCTCAATACAGCCGAGAAGAGCCTTGCCGGTGAGGTTGTAGTTGATCATGGCCGGTGCGGCACCGATAGCGAGCAGTCCTACCCAGGCGAAGGCAAAGTCGGGAGAGTTCTGCATGAAGAAAGCGACGAATTGTCCGGGCTTGACGCCATAAGAGAGGAATAGTTGAGCATATTGGTTGACACGATCGTAGGTGGTCTTCCACGAGACGCTTCCATTTCTCGTCCAGATGGCCTCATCGTAGGGATGCTTTTGGACTGCTTGTTCGAAGATGTAGTAGGGAGAAACGCGATCGGTCTTGACTGATATATCCGTAAGGCTACTGCTCGTCTGTGAGATAGACTTGTAACTTACCAGCGTTTTCAATTGCGCTGACGACTGTTCGGCGGCCTCGGAGTGAATTAATATCCTTCGAGAGATGGTATTTCGCGTCAAGATACAAAGAAGAGGCCACGCCTCCAGCTACCGCGGCTGCCGCTGCTGTTCCGGTGTTAACATATTGATTCAATGTTCGTGGTAAAATCCGAGGTCGTGATTGACTGAACGCGACGGAAGGTTTTCACCACCAAGTTGGAGGCTGGTGATGGCGGGGAATCTCACCGAGCGCCATATCTTAAGATGGAGTCTGAAAGCTCTGTCTAACAAGATTATCTGTCTATTTGGAGACTCGGAATCGCACACCGGTGAACGCCAAACGCGTGGTGTATGGTGTCTGGGATTTTACAAAGTTGAGGGCGAGAAGATTGAGGGGATCTCTCGGAACGAGGTAGGCATTCGTGACGTCGAGCCGAACGGTAAAAAGTGTCCTCGACTGCTGCCCAGGGCCGACTCTTGGAGCTGGATCCCTGTGAAACGTGGGGGACGGAGAGATCAAAAACCCCGCCAGCTTGCCGTGGAGCTCGCAAGAGTCGCGAGTATCATTGGGCAGTCAGTGGAAAACAACCGGGTTCGCCGTGTTTGGGATCCCCATTGTTAGCGATTATTTGCCGTGCTCCATGTCCCCAAGCTCCCAAGCTCCAACACCGGAAAAGACGACCGGCAAATGGCCTCCTCGCGAAGGCGAAGCGAGAATGTAACACAACGACGGTTTGTGTCCACCAACTCACCCACCTTGGCCCACAACAACCCCCGGCCTCGACTAGCGGGAAGCAGCCAATGTTGGAGTAAAGCGCGGGGGTGCAGCGCCGAGGCATGATTGGCCTGGGGCCAAGTAACTTTCTTCTCTGCGAACTTGCTCCGTTCGTTGCCGAGGGTAGAAGAGGTCCGGCACCCTGCCTTTGCGCGCATTCGCGAGACGGGAAGTGGCGGAAGATCAGTTAGTCTCGTGTTTTAGGTGCTTTGATTGGGGGGAGGCTGGTCTCGTCCGACGTCTGAGCTTTCAGGGATTCAGCTTCTGGAACGTCGCGAGAACGAAGCAATCGGACGTGGGAGGGCCGAATTTCCGGACACTGCTCTTGGATTACTATTTCGACCATTCCGTAGGCACTATTTTGATTCCGAAGATGCTCGGCGTCAGCCTCCGCTACCCGGCGTCGGCGGCCCGGATTTGGCCCCACTGTGCCGTCAGCAAAGCTAGCAGGACGTGCCGACAGTCAACATGGAATCTGCTGCAGATAAGTATACCAGAAGGCCACAGTAATGTTTTACTGCGCCTTTTCACTACATTTCAGCCATACTTGAATGCCAAAGTCAGAAAGAAAGAAGAAATTGATTACGCTCCCTTTCCAGTCAATTCCCTGGTGATTCAAGCAATCTCTCAACCTCAAACTAACAAACACCAAGTCCGTCGAATGCCTAGCAACTTCCTTCCAAGCCATAATCAGTCTTCAAATTACACAATAATTGTTTCCATTTATGCCCTCGACATGTACCAGACTGTGACCTCTCACTAGTTCACTCTGCAAGAGCTCGTACCTGCGAGTTAAGGTATTGATACTTGGAAATGCCACACGCAGCGATACAGAGAGTTTCGACACCTTCGAAATCACTGTCAGTTTTTGTGTTAGTTGACACTCATATCGCTTTCCCTCGCGCATCCGGTCACTGATTCACATACCTTGCATGAAAACGATGAAGATTGCAAAGATCGTTCCGGCAATCAAAAGGGTTGCCGGCGGTTCGATGATGGTCGCATCTGTTCTGATCTCTTCCGCTAGAGTCCGGTCCGGAGGCCGACCTAATTGACGTGCGATTGATTTCTCCTGAAGCAGGAAGCTTTCGATATTGTTCTCCGAAACAATCGTCTCGTTATTCTTTCCTGCCAACGGTTCATTTGAGAGTTGGCGAGTATTTTTGGACCGTCTAGTTGACTTCGTGACTAACTTGTTTTCGGCGCCCAGAGAAATGTCGCCGTACAGCAAATCTGCCTTAGAAGCCAATGCAGAAGCAAGGTCTTGGAAACCTTTTGGTACAGCTTCGCCAACGTCTAGGCCGAGCGCATCGCATGTGACCCCCCAGATTGACCAGACAGCATCCCGGTATGCTTCCAACTCTTGCTCGTTGTTGCCAGTCGTGAATATCATCTGCCACCTCGGAAGGTCATCATCGAACTCTTCCGCGAATGACCCGTGATGCAATTCTTGAAGTGTGTCCACCATTGACCGAGATAGACATAAGAATGGGATTACTTCTGCAACAGTTGAAGGAGATCCCCCTCGACACAGCTTGCGCATCATTTTGATGCCTGCAGCCCAGGCATCTTGACGATTGGACAACTGCCACGAAAGGTCCTTGAACTTTGTTGTAGAAATTGAAGATGCTGCTATCATCAAGCTGTGCTGGCTGTAGAAGTGTTTTCGAAGACAATCCATATTCGTGGAAACCAAAGGTCCATGTGCAGGGTTCCTCGCTTGCCGAAGATGTCGTTGCACTTGTGACACGATCCGAAGAAGCCTTTGGATTGATGTTCGTTTTCCACAAGATCTCAAGTGGCGTATGGCCGATAAAACCTGCCCGCCTGCTTGGATCAGTAGCAGACGAGCGACTGCGTCATGTCCATTGCTTATGGCGACGCTTAGCGCAGTACCTCGATGATCCACACTGTTTACATCAACAGAAGTCTGAAGAAGTACATTCACAACGTCGTAGTTGCCCTCTTCGGAAGCCCCTATGAGTGTTGAGTGGAATTCAATGCCCGGTGTAGACAGGAGCCTCTCGGTGCGCGCCCCATGCTCAAGCAGAACTTGCACCGTTGCTGGACTCCCACTTTTCGCTGCTGAGACCAACGCTTCTTGCATGTCTCCATCCGTGAATGAAACAAGGTTCCGCGAGCCTTTATGAGGGCTTGTTGTGCAGAACCCCTGTCGTCGGTTGAGCAGAAGCTGAACTATTTCGTGATGTCCACAGGTTGAGGCGATGTTTAACAGTGATCCTTGACTACCAGACCGGTTTTGTGGCCAGTCAGAGTCAAGGATGAGTCGTACAATCTCGCGATGTCCCTTGGCTGCTGCTATATGCAGCGGAGATCGGCCCTTAGAATCAGTCTTGTCGACAGCTGCGCCACGATCGATTAGCGCCCGCACGATTTGTATGTCGCCAAGCTCTGCTGCGATGCAAATTGGAGGATTCCGGCCATCGCCAGAATAAACTATGATACATCACGTCAGTTTTCTTCAGTATTCGCACATGGTCCGGAGGTCCTACCATCTGTGTCTGTTCCGAGTTCGAGGAGTGATTGTACAAGACCAATGTCCTCGTTCGCTACGGCACTCATAATCCAGTCGTTGACACTGAATGTTCCCTCCAGTAATTTCTTGATCATCTCAGGGTTCAAGGTTGAGCCTTTGGTCGCAGGAGGTCTCTTCTCCACATTCGTCACCCTTGAAGCGTCGAATTCCTCACGCGTCCTGAGTTCTCGGGAGCACAATTCGTATATCGGGCCCTGGATCAGGTCTTGATCGCTGAGAGAGTCATCGCTGGATGTGGTTCTGGAGGTATTGCTGAACGTGTTACTGAAAGTGCCGGGAGAGGACAGATAATCTTCTTCCCATCTTGTGAGAGACATTGCTTCCGAGTCTTCGTTGGATGACGGAAGCGAGTCCTCTGCAATGAGCTCATATCGAATGGCCATGTTGCCCGAGTCCATCTCATGGATATCCAAGTTCCGATCGGCCATACGAAAGGCGTCGTCAAGCCTGGAAATATTGAACTCGAGCTGGTCATGTCCTTGGAGGTCTTTGAATTCGGCTCGGAGCTTTTTCAGATGATCAGCTTCGCCATTTCTCGGTCTGAAGAGGACATCAGGGTCAAGGGGGTAGCAGCCACTATTATCATGCCCTGCCCTTCCAGCCGTATCGTATTGGCGGTAGTGATTGTCTTCCAAAAGTCCGTGCACGAGTAGTTCCAGTTCTAGGGACCGCGATGTATGCGTCGCATACGTCGGATTCAACCGCTCTGTCTCGTATAAGTTTTCCAGATGCGCTGTCAACTGATTTCTGTTTCTGAAGAGAATTCGACCATCGATGCTTCGACAGCCCTCGGTTGACCTGAAGAAACACGGTAAAACAAGCATGACTTCGGCCCATAATGATTCACTCATGAAATCCACCTTGATGCCGGCGGTAGTGAGCTCAACGACAAACGCGAAGGCAGAGGGGAAATGATTCTGTCTACATTTACATGCCGACGAACAAAGTCTCTCATCGGATTCGGCAATGTAGGTGCCATATCCAAGAGAGTCGCCCTGATATCTGCCATCCCTTGACGTTTGTTAGTAGTTTACTCGAGATGAAGTCACTGTGGGCAGGTGCGCTCAACTCACGAGCTTTCTTGAATCAACCGAAACTTCTTCTCCCCATATCGATAAGGGCAACATCTTTCATATTTTGGAATCGGTGCTTCCGTTATCATGGCCAGCGGCACGGTGTAGTTGAGGTCCTGCTCTTCAACAGCACCGGAACTCGCGTGGTTTGAGGCATTGTGAGTAATCTCGTTTACAGGTATTTTGTCTGACTCTCGATGTTCATCATTGAGCTCGTTTTGAAGAAAGGGCCGTATGGTAGATGTTGGATCAGACGACACAGCGGTGCAGTTAGATGGCTGAAACATGCCTGGGATAGGCGGGTCGTCGTTCAAGTTCACAGGCTCCTGGGCGGCCGTGTCCCAATCACAGGTAATATCCATGTCTAGATTCCCCAACCCGAAAATGTCGTCGATCTCACCATCCATAGTGCTCTCAGCATCCGTGTCCATCGTGCTAGGATCTGGAATCTGTCGATTCTTCCCTCTTTTATTCTTCAAACGTCGGGCTGTCCACTTCAACAAGCTTGAGGGCCTCTCCGGCTTGGCCTTCTGACGGAATGTGCTTCTCCTATGCTTGCTGCTGTTTTTTGTGAAGTTCCATCGTTGCAATCGTCTTTTGCACATTCTGACACTGGGTTCTCAGTGTTAGTATGAATGTGGCAGAACTCGTGTTGCGAAAGAGGGAACCCAGCCTACTTGGTGTGAAAATCATTTTCACTAGACAGAATATTGACAACGTCCTCAAGGGGCATGTCTACGTCAAGATAGAGATATTTGATGACCTTCTTCATTTTCTCCCATTCGTCCTCGGAATAGGAGCGAGTCGCTGGCAAATGACCCTCGCAGGTCTTAATCGGTTCCTTCGAAGAACCAATTGTATCTTGAGGTGACTTATTCGGTCCTCCATTTGAGACGGAGTTCGCTAGCGGTGGTGAGGTTGAGCGGAATCGAGAGCTCATGCGCTTTGCCATGCCCAAAATTGAAAGAGGAGAGCCCCCCTCGTCGTAACCTTCTGTGAGCGGCATTGCCACTGAGATGATGAATGGTGGAGATTGACAAGGCTGGCTACACAGGCCGAGACGGCTTGACGATGACACACACTGTCGACGAGAAGTCGAGCCCGTATGATCGAAGCATGATTGAAGAGTGCGACTTCTTTAAGTTGTGAGGCCCCTGAGGGTTCAAATCAAATTGACAAGATACCAACCAAGCCACCTCAGAAGGCGAGATGAGGCAACTTGGGATGCCAGTTGGCGCCCCACAGCGTCCGAAAGGACCAACCTCTACGTCGGGGTGGAGACTTGAATGAGAAAAAGACCCATTTCCAACTGGTCCAGAGTCGACAGGAGGGATGGAAAAGACCCTGCATGTAGCCAGTAATATTACTTCAAGGTGTGCAGGTGTGTAGGCGTGTAGATGTGTTAACAAACAGGGGTGTCCGCATCAAAAGACCGCGCAGGTTAGCCGAGGGGAATCAGGCTCCTTGTTCAGGCAGATGCGCGGACAAGCGTCACTCGTGATGGGCCCAAGAGAGACTTCAAAAGTTGCCCCCGAAACAAATGCGTTCTGGAAGCTCATCACGCGAACGTGAGGCATTCCCAGATTTTGGCTATCGGCAGCTTTGCGTTCGGTGTGGGCTGGCTAGTTGCAGTTCTCAGCTGACGAAGAGCACAATAACTACTGGTCAAGGCTATGATCTCAGTCAAAATCACCCGCATTATAGTCAAAAAAGGCAAACGTCGCACAGCCAGATGTCATGTAAAGCAGTTCTCATATGTCATTTAACAGGTTCGAATGAGCGGAGGGAGAGAGAGAGCCAGCAAAGCGTAGTGAAGCTAGGTAGGCACCGTGCGAGCAAAGAGGTGGGGAAAAGAAGTTGAAGAGTACCAATCATCGATCAGAGCATCTGGGCAGGGGTTGCACTCCCAGCTGGGCCGAGCTTCTGCCGTTGGGTTTTATCGAAGTAGGTCTGTCCCCGCGCCCTTTGGTCTACGAATTTCCTCTCCAGCTCCCCCCATTCCCCTACAGCTCCAAGCACCCTCAGCTTGTACAGTGCAACTAAACTCTCTCGCACTTATACGCAGTAAAACACTCGCATAAAATGCCCAACATGGATTTTACAGTAACAGGAGGTGTTGCGATGATTCTAATATACTGCAGATGATTTATATCTTGAGGCAATTTTAATTCAGTCATTGTTTTGTTCGTCGTTTGTGAAGATCTGCTCGGCCCTCTCTCATTGCTGCCCTTTTTTAGGCTTTCATGATGGAGGCCAAATTCAAGCAAGAAATCCAGCAGGTAAGCCGATTGAAATCATTTTGTCATACGGTATTCACCTTTTCATACTATTTCCTGACTTTCACTTGCACAACAATCCGTCTCTTTCCCTGATAGTCTATCAGCTTGGCCATCTTTCATCGTGTCTCGACTCATCTGGTTTGTCTCTAGATGATGTACATCGCCGGAGAAACTCAAGATTTGTCAATCCAAACCATCAAACTCATCGAAGATATAATCCTCGATCAAGTCGTCCACATGGTACCGCGATCCCGCCCAACCCCTATTCACACCTAACAGCTTCACAGCTGAAGACCGCAAACGATCTTGCCAGCCGTCGCGGCTCCCGCGTGTTCTCCAACAACGACCTTATCTTTCAGTTCCGCCACGACACCGCCCGCGTAGAACGTCTGCGCACCTTTCTCACCTGGAAAGCCATCCGCAAGACCGTCAAAGATTCGGACGACAAGGAGGGCTTCGTCGATGAAGCAGACATGGAAGAAGCCGCGCCTACTGAAGAGACCCCCGCAGCCAAAGGCAAGTTCCCCACCGTCTCCCTTCCGTGGGATGTGTCTTCGTTCTTCTCCGAGCAGGTCGCAGAGGCGCCGGAGGACATCACCGACATCACCAGCAGTGAGGCCGCACTGGAGAAGTTGCGCAAGAACGACGAGCGGACGAGGGACATGACCGTCGCCGAGTATGCCACTTGGTCCGAGTACCGCCACGCATCGCTTACCTACCGCAAGGCCAAGCGCTTCAGGGACTGGTGTGGGCTGGGGGTCATCGCGGAGAACAAGCCTAACGACGATGTCATGGATATCCTGGGCTTCTTGACTTCCGAGATGGTGCAAAGCCTTACAGCCGAGGCGTTGAAGGTGCAGGCCCAGGAGCTAGCGTATCTCGATGGCCAAGTCGGTGCCGAGAGAGTGCAGAAGCGGCAAAGGGGCTTGTTTTCGGAACTTGAAGGGGCGAGAAAGCCGGTTGAGTTGAGACATGTGAGGATGGCTTTTCAAAGGTTGCAAGGACGGCCGAAGAAGAGTCGAGCGTTGTTGAATGGGACAAGACTTGCGTGGAAATCTGGACTGAAGCTGGTAGGTGCGGACTTTCTGAACTGAGGGCCTGCTAACATGACTGCAGCTTTAATGGGGTTTGGGGTTTGCATTCCTTCAATAGTCTACATGAATATGCGGGTGACAGAAGTTCTCCCCTGATTTCCTAACATATCTTCCAAGGTCACTCAAAGCATACTAAAAGAAAAGCAAAAGAGTACTTGAGCAAAAAAAAAAACGATCTACGAAGAAGACAGACCATGCAAAAATGTAAAAGAGAACGTCAAGGACAGGATTCGAACCTGCGCGACCGAAGCCACTGCCTAAACTGACATCAGAGAACTGATAGCAGGGCAGCCCATTAACCACTCTGGCACCTTGACCAATTGAGTTTGATGACTGGAGTGATGCAAGATGTGTATATGGAGGCCGTGCGCCTGTACCCCACCTTCCCTTCCTGGAAGCTCCCTCTCATATCATGCTTGCGCAGCAGTCTGTTGCCCAAGACAAGACTTGGGAATTGTATCCGAAGACGATGCAGTAATTGCATTACCTTCCCGAATGACTGTTTGATTTGATACACTGGCAGGCGTTCGCTTCTACCAAGGGGTGTCATCCAGGAAGCTGTGTAACTGCTGCAGTTGGTGCAGGGACGGGAGCTCCTCCCCCACCACGTTCGGAAGTTCCTAAGCTCCTGCCATCGCCAATGACCGGAGCTTGACCCCGCGACGTCACATGACGAATGACGTGAAGGTCTTAAAGGCCATTCAAGTTGCAACTTCTTCCCATTCATCAACTACAAACGTCTGAACCCTCGTGAAACTTACCGCCTTTCATCGTTTCGACCCTTTGTCCGCTCATTGGTACTTAAGAGTCCCCAAAACCAGTTGAAGGAATTCAACTTGACCACCCGGAAGCCGGCATCCGATAAACGAAGAACACATCACGATGGTCACCACGCAGCAAGTCAACCTTCCCGACGGGCGAATTCTCTCGTATCACCTTTCCAGCCAAGGTGACGAGCCGCTCGTGCTGCTGGCGAACTCGCTGTCGGCGCCATTCCGGGTCTGGGACCACGTCGCCAAGTTCCTCGCAGAGAACGGCTTCCGTACGCTTCGCTTTGACCAGCCGGGCCACGGCCAGTCGTCAGCTCCCAAGAACCTCGACACGACATTTGAGTCAATTGCCGATGATGTGTACCACCTGCTGCAGTCTCTCAAGATTGAGAAGGTCTTCGCCTGGATTGGAGTCTCAATGGGCGCCGCGACCAGCTTCTACTTTGTGAACAAGTACCCCGGCATCGTGCACAAGGTGGCCATCTGCGACACCATCGCGGCATCCCCCAAGAACGCTGGTGTGGACGATCTGTTCGCACCGCGGGCCCAGCAGGCGCGGGAGGCCGGCAACATGCAGGAACAGGTTGAGGGCACGATAGACCGGTGGTTCGGCCAGGAATGGGTCAAGGCAAACCCCGACGAGGCGGACCGGGTGCGCGCCATCATGAACCAGACCAGCGTGGACGGGTTTGCGACGTGCTGTCACGCGCTGCGGAGCGACAGCTTCGACATCCGGCCGCTGTTTGGCAAGGTGGGAGCCGGTGTTGACGAGGCGCTGCTGGTTGTTGGCGACAAGGACGCCAACCTGCCCGAGGCCATGAAGGAGATGCGGCAGAAGGTGGAGGAGGGATTCCGAGCGGCGGGCAAGGACAACAAGATTGAGCTCAAGGTGATCAGGAACGCGGGTCACGTCCCCTTCGTTGATGGTTACGACCAGTTCAAGGAGATTATTCTCGGATACCTCAAGGCTTAGTCGAGACTAGCGAGTGTATGTATCATTACTATCATGACTATTGTGGCATCTGGAGGTTGGAGGTCGCGACGGACTGCAATCAGCTTCCTGTTCCCAGCCTCTGGGGGCTTCGGTGAGATGGTTAGCACAATTAGCACAGAATACAAAGACAAAGAAGCACAACTCGCCTGTCGGTGAAGGAGCCAATGACATGATCCCGGTACCCAGACTTGGCCAATGCTCCTCACCGAGACTCGCCGGAGCTCCGCTTTAGGCTTAGCTTCGGCTTGGAGCACCCACTCACGTCCACCGCCAGCCTCTTTTTTCCGTGGATTTTCCCCCGTCCCCCAGCCCAGCCGCCGCTGCTGGTTCCCCGTCAATTCACAGTCACTGCTGGTGCCAGTGCTGGCTGCTTGTGCTGATCGCCCATTTCATTTGCTCCCACAGCAACCGCCCGACAACCATCACCGTCCCCGTCGGCCATCCACCTTTCCCACCACCACATCACACACACCACACGCACCATACACAACGCACAGCACCACCACCACCCGTGCGGACAAAGGCTCAAGCATGCGATAGAACATCTTTGACCTCGTTTCCCCCTTTCCCCGGCCACCCTCATCCTTTATATCGATCGCTGCACCCGGCTCTCCTCATCCCCATCCAGCCTGCATCAGCATTTACCGCCGGTCGCCTCTATTATTTTCTCTCCGCCCTGGTTCCATCGCTGACGTGGTGTTGCGCTCAACGCGACATTTCTCCGCCCCCGCCCGCGTCGACCTTCGAATCGACACTCGGAAAGGAGAGTCGCAGCTTTTCAATCAATCTCAACCATACAATTCGATACATTCCTACCCCTTCGACGCTGGTCTACCGCTCATTCGTCGATTGCTGCGTCACGATCCAATATGGCTGCGTCCGACGCTGGTGCCCAGCTGCCCAACGGCACCCCGACCGACACCAGGTCCGTTGCCGACGAGCCCACGACGCCTCAAGACAACGATGTCCTCGCTGTGAATTCATCCCAAGTTACCCTCCCGTCGACTGAAGTCCCCGCCTCTCCCATGGACCCAAACCAATCCTTCAAGACCGAAGTCAACGACGACCGAATGAGCTCCGCCGCCGTCATCCCGTCTTCTTTGACACCGCCTCCCTCCTCCCAGGTCGTCGCACATGCCGGCAACGGAGTTTCGCAAGCTACCTACGGCGGTTCCCAGCGCTCTGCCCTCTTCTCCCCGCCTGCTACCGGCTTCAACACGACCGTCCGCCGAGACGGCGGTCTTGGATCAGAATATGTTCCCCCGGCCCCGAAGCAGGTCCTCGATGCTACCGCCGATGAACTACGAGCCATGATGCAGACCTGCATCGCCGAACATGCCAAGTTGAAGATGGAGGCGGCCCATCACAAGCTACAATACAACTTACTTAGCCTCCAGGCTGACGAAGACGCGAAGCGGGCTGCCGTCGAGCACGAGATGACCCGCCGAGAGATCGAGGCCCTTAGGACGGCCGAGTACTCGCGGCAGGCCGTACGTGAGCTCAGCGCCGCTTCGGAATCGGCACAGATGAAGTACCTCCAGATGAAGATGTGGTACGAGGAGTCCATCGACGAGAACGAGGCCCTTTCCCGACGAGTCAAGATGGCGAAAAAGGTCATCTCCCAGAAGGAGGAGGAGATTGTGAGCTTGACGGAAGAGCGAGACATGATGCTGAACCGCATTCGGGAAAACCGGGAGCATTTTCACATGCTGTGCAGCCCAGGTGGCATCTTCCACGGTGCCATGACGCCCAGACAGCAGCCGCAGCACCAGACGTCCGTCTCAACTCCGCAGCAGGCTCACCGCGCTACCCCCAAGCAGACCCCGCGATCTGCGCACCGCGATGCACGGGTCGATCGGGACCATGGCCCCGAGCCTATTGCGGCTCTGCTGCAGGCACTCAGCCAGGACAACAACAGCGCGCCGTCGACACCTACTACAACGGTCAGACCCGCGCCCCGCATGCCTCCCAAGCACACCCGAAACGCCCAGTCACTATCATCTCTACCTACGACGCCGCTTTCCCGCCCTCAGCGGCACGAACAGTCTGGTCTGCTGCCATCGGTCAACCTCGTGCCCCAGAGCGAGCCCCGGCACAGCTACACCAGGGCTCAAATCATTCCTGGCACGCCGCCGCCAGCTGTGCGAGAGCCTACCCGCAAGAGCCGCGAGAGCACCATCTCAGCAGATGACAACGAGGAGCTCGCTCGCCAGGCGCTAGAGTCAGTCGCAAACTTGTCACAGGCATCACGAAATGCGTCACGCAGCTGCCGCAAGCCACTCCCTACGGGCGAGGACGACGAGGATGTCTCAGAGAGCCAAGCTAGCCAGGCCGCCTCTGAGATGCTCCGTCGCGATCCTCGGGAGAGCTTCGAGGTGGCGTCTTCGGTAGGCTCGCGCGATGGCACCCCGGCGCCGGCAGAGAAGAGCGCAAGACTTCAGGCGAAGCTGTTTCCCGGCATCACCAAGGGTCACACGACAGCAGACAAGCGCAAGTTCAGTGGGGGTGCGCCTAACGCGCAAGAGACGCTGAAGCGGATGCGCATGAGCGGCGGCTCTGTGGAGGATCCCAAGGTCGGACTCGGGATTCAGTACAGTTACAGCTAAGGGCTGACGGCGGTTCGTGTCTTTGGGGCCGGCGGCGTTCTGTCAACTGTGTGTCTGACATCTGCCCGTCACCGTCGCGGCGGCGGGCAGGCGAGGGCGCGGGCGCGGATGGTTCATCCGGTGGCTGGGAGCAGAAAAAAGCCGCTGAAGCGATGGGGCCCGCCCCCATTTGGAGCGACACTGGAAGCGGTGTGTGGGGATAGCACGGCGGCTGCGGCGTTGGACTGCAATTGCAGGGAACAACTGACGTGGCAATCTGCACATTTTATGGATACGGAAAGAGAAAAATTGCATTCCAAAATGATACCACTGGGGCACTGGCTTTGGCGTTTGAGAGATATGTACGACACGGAAGACGGAATCAACATGAGCTTCAGAATAGACAACAGCAAACAACATCAGACGAGTACTCGTTCTCTTCCATTTCCATGACGAAGCGATGTGAAGGGCACGGCTTGCCTCGAACCCCTCCTCTCTGCATCTGCAAAGTGAAAATGGACTCTATTCAGAACGATCCATAGCGGGACGCCCGAGAGGGAAAAGGCTCACTCACGACCAGGGTCACGCTCACGCGAGACGCAAAAAAAGGGAGCCCTAGGGAGAGAGAGAGATCCAGCCCAGGCCCAGCTGAAGACCCAACACCAAGCCAGACCAACGATGTTCGCCGCCGCCGCTGCTGCTGCACTGCAACTCGAACTTTGAAGAATCCACACACACGAACAGCCAGATAGCAGCAGACCAGACCAATCCATCCATCGGCGCTTCCCCTCGTGGCAGTTCGCGCCATCGTCGTGCGCAGGAACTAACCCGTTTTCTCCCTCTTGTCTCTCGCTTCCCCTCCCTTGGGCTGGCATGCGGCCCTGCCCCTCTGCCCCAAAGGCCCAGGGCCCATGGTTCGTTCGCCAGACATAAGACCCTGGCCGGGGGGATACTTCGTCCCCTCCTTTCGATGTGCTGCGTGCTGTATGTATCCAGCGAGCGCCCCGTCCGTGCCTTTTTTCTTCGCCTCTTGTCACTGCTACAGTCTGCTTATTCGTACTGCTGCTCGTGACTGCTGCTGCTGCTGATGCCGCTGCTGCTATTGTGTGGTTGCAAAGTCCCCTTCACCGAAGTTTAACTTGACCGCCGATCGGAAACACGCGCTTCCTTCCTGCAGGTCCCGCGACGGACTACTACGATATACTTCGCAACGCTGCGCACACAAAGGTCGCAGTTTCGTCCCAAATATTTTGGAATTTCCTTCGTTCCGTCTTTTTGGAGAGAGGTTTTTGGCAAAAGATCTCACCGAGTTCAAGCGCAGATCTTTGCCTTCCAGTCTCTCTCTCCATCATTCGGATTTATCTGTCAAAGTCAGTGCGAAGCAGCAAGGGGTGTGTACACGCAAAGCCGAGTTTGCGGCCTTTTCACCTTAAGCCGCCGCCCCCTTGACCCTCTCTCACCGCTTCGCGAAGAGGAGTCCCAGGACCCTTGCACAACCTCACCACTCACCCCGCGCTGCTCTTGCGCCTGCTCTCCTCATCCCGTCCCGGCCCAGAGATTCAGGAGGTGTAGCGACGAAAAGGACGACGACTTTAAACCCATTCTCCATCCCTCATCCCAACCTGCATCCTTACTTTTCACACTTAGCGGGACTTTTTTTGCATCTTTTCTTTTGTCTCTCTTCTTAACGAACCAATTACTTTCACGACGACTTTTAACGATTACACGACATAACGCAGTGCGACCAACACAACACAGTAGCCAACGCACATCATCATGAGGGATCACCCACGCAGCCCCCGCCAGGGATCCCCCGCCCCTCAGTTCCCCCCGCGCAGCCTGTCCGACGAGCTGGGCGACTTCATGTCCTCGACAGACGACGATGAGGAGAGGGACTACGACGACAGCGAGGAGGAAGAGGAGGATGACGACCAGAGGACCCTGGCGACGCCCATGTCGTCGCGCAAGTCGTCGCAGGACAGCTTCTTCGACGAAGACGACGAGGTGCCCGAGGAGTTCCCGCCGCTGCTGAAGCCCTTTCCCGCTAGCACGAGCGCGCGCAAGTTTGCCAGGATTGACTACGCGCGCGGGGCGGGGCACCATGCGTACGCCAGCGACGACGAGGCGGAGTGCACCACCAGCAGCAGCCGGCCCGGGACGGCTCGGTCGGTGGTGGTGCCGCCGCCGTTCCGGCGCAGCTCGACGTGTCCGGTGCTGACGCCCGACTTCCTGCAGGGCGCGGCGGACGACGTGGTGAAGCTGATGCCGGAGCAGGCGGACTTTATGAAGAAGATGGTGGAGGGGTGGCGGGAGATCCAGCGGCGGTCGAGCGTGAGCGTGCTGAACGCGGCGCCGAGCCCGCTGTCGGTGGTGTCGCCTGGGATGAAGAGGCCGAATACGGCGCCGAGCCCGTTTCATCCGCCGCCGCAGATGAACTTTTCGTCGTCGTTTCCGAGGGTGCCGGAGCGGTTGGAGGAGGAGCTGGGGCGGTTGGAGGAGGAGCCTGGGAGCGCGACGGAGAGCGAGACGGAGGGTGGGTTGGAGGAGAGGATGGAGAGGGTGGAGGGGGCGATTGATGAGTTGAGGGTGATGGCGAAGGAGAGCGCTGAGAAGGCGATTGTTGGCGGGGAGGGAAACACTGAGAGATTCAGGGTTGTGGAGAGGTGTATTGATACTATCGGGAGGGTTTACGAGAAGAAAGAGAGGGGGAGGAGGAGGAGGAAACTGGGGGCGAAGTGTGTTGGGGCGCTCGTGAGGATCTGTGAGATGTTTGCGAGTGAGGGAGCCGATGGAGGTTCATATCGCTTCGAGTCCAGACTCTTGGATGAGATCACTGAGGACACGGAAAGCGACGTGGAGGATTACGCGGACGACGAAGCTGAAGACGACTTTATTGAGAGGTTTCCGGACTTTATCGACAGAAGCTTCTTTGGAGATGGACCAACTGTGGTGGGCGATATGACGCTCCCACCACCAAGTCCGACAAAAGATCCTCTGGATGACCGACGGCATGCGGCGCTAGTCGAGCAAGCTAGAAACGAGCTCGAAACACTGTTTGCCGAGGCGGCAGAGGCGGAGACGCCGTTCGAGGAGAGGCATTCGAGGGTGGTGTACGCTGTGGAAGCATACCTGGCGAAACTGTCCGAGATGGAGGCGGCGCATGACCGAGATTTCAAATGGCATGCCGAGCTGAAGGCCTTCCACGTTGCGATGGGGTCGAGGAATATTATCGGGTCAGAACCGGGAACGGCCATGGCACTCGTCGCAAGTCTGAGTCTCTGTTTTATACCTATTGCGACGGTGTTATGGTACGTCACGGAACCGACAACATCATGGATGCTGTGGAGGATGTTGATACCCATCGGCTGTTATTTCTTGCTCCTTGCCGGGTTCTATATCGACCAGAAGGAGGCGAGGGAAGCACTTTACGAAGAACATTTACCTTTCGAGGCGAGGGAAATGAGGAGGCGGCATAAACGGGAGAAGGAACTGTTGCATGCTGCGCATGAAAGAGCTGTGCAAAGAGTCTATTCCCCTGAAGGGTGATGCTTGAGGTGTAGCTGTAGGACTACTTGAAAACCTATTATGTTCAGTATCTTGTCTCGCCCGCCCGTGTTGTTTCCTGTTCACTTGTCGTCGTTTGGCACCTTTTTGACGCCTGGTGCCACAAACACGTTCAGGTCGATCCCTTGAGTATGTCCAACACGGTTGCAGCCATGTCCACAAACCCCGTGAGCAGCGTGCGCTGTACTAGCACTATGCGCATTACCCTGGGGCCTAGTAAGCAGACTGCCTGTCCCTCTCTACCTGTGGAATCTTGCCTTGATGTTACCTCTTCGCGTGAGACCCGTGAACAGCCGGTGTGGGATAACAATGATGACGGAAATAATCGCAGCGGCTACCACCACAGGGCCGAGGACGATAAAGGCGAAGAGCATCCAAAGGTCCATCGCTCTGAGGTGGGTGCTGTGACAAGAGTCTTCCTTGCCACATAATTCGTCATTCTTGATGCGGGTGTTGTTTCGGAGGCGAACGTACGCGCACCAGAGCAAGATTGGAATGATGAAGAAGATGACGGAGAATCCCAGGAACGACAGCCAGAACTCGAGGGCGGTGTCGCCAACAATTAGGGGATGCGTTCCGAATGCCGTCCCGTTGGCACCCCATGGAGACTGGTGGTAGTTATCTGGGCTCGCCATGTCGGGGAAATGGTTGACGGTGCGTGATCGAGTGCTCCGGGCAAGGTGCGATGGCGTGTGGAGAAGCAATTACGGCCGCACGATATGTCCAACGATCCGAGATGATAGAGAATAATTTGATAGAAAGTATGTGATATGCGGTTGTGGTTGGGCCGATGTTGAAGCAATGGTTCAAGAGAAGCGGACGGTGTACAATCGAAAGGCTGGACGTTGGAGCGTCGGAGACTCGGAGTCGGAAGGTCTGCCAAGGAAGTACCTTCTACATCATGGCAACGACGCGCTTTTTCTTGAGGTCAGTTTCAGGAAGAAGGATCCTGCCGTGGGGTAGTGTAGGTAGGTACTTCCGTTCGTCACATCGTCATACAAGAAGGCCCGAGGGAACATTCGATGTGCAGGCGCGTTGTCTCCACGGCAGCTGCCGCAACTTCTACTTCATGGAAGGTGCAGTCAAAGGTATTACTGAGTCCAAGAACAAGCTGGTGTAACGAGACGGCCGTTCGGGAGGCGACAAAAGGGTCGAAGCGGCAGCTGCGTCTTCGGGAACGACTCCGGCGATCGTCGGCAAGCGAGTGGGGCCGGACCGGGCGATGAGGCCGAAGATGATGGGGTGCACTCCGGAGTTATACAATACGGGACAAGCTTCCAACCGACCTGACAAAAGTTGATCCGTGACTCACAAGCGTTGATGGTACCCATTAGTTGCCTGAAATCGACACACCGCCATCGTCTCGTTGGATGCCCGCACCCTTGACTCCCATAAGGGATGCTGGCGCCTACGGTACCGAATCTACATTCAGGTTGGAACAGTGTTGACGACGGAAAGCGCCCCAATGAATAAAGCCCAAGCGAGATTGCTTCACTGCATTCATGCTAGAGGTCTTTGACTTGCAGGGTTGTTGGCTCAAAACCACCAACACAACCAACAGCCAAGGCCACGGCTGCCTAACCAACACGAGGTCCACCTCGGTTAAGACATCGTGCCTCTAAGTTAAAAGCATCAACACTCCCCGTCCGCCAACATCCAGCAGACTCTTTGCATTATCCTCTGCAATGTATCGCATGTCAAATCTGTTCCGCACCCCCCTCAGAACACTCAGTATTGGATTGTCTATACGCTTGGCCAGAGGTGCAATGGGTTCCGGAATGTCCACAGACGCCTCAATGATGTTGCCCAACTCTGCAGCTTATCCTGCCGTCGGCTCCATGGAGCTTTCACCAGACACGCATGCCCTCTACATCCGAGCCATGGGAGACCCTTCCGCCCTCAGTTTCAACGAGAAACGCCAGGTCATGGGCCGCGCACCAATCAAAGACGAAGACAACGAAGAGTCCGTCAAGCTTTTCGGCCGAAGCATCCAGAAACTCATCCAAAAAGCCCACGACGCCCCCTACGAGCTCACGCTGGAGGAATGCGAATTCATCGAGAAAACGATGAAAACGCCGCCCCGCAATGCATTCGACAGATTGACGCCTGAGCATGAGAAACTGGAGGAAGACGCCCGGGGCAAAGTCAAAGAAACAGTGGACCAGCAAGAGAGCTTCACCGAGTTTCTCGGCGTCATGACGGCTACCAACCGTGCCAAACAGCTCAGGCTCGACCGGCAGATCAAGCGCGAATGGGGCGTCGAGGCGGACATGAGAACCCGTCTTGAAGCTGCCAAGGACTTGCAGCGACCGACGTGGCTTCAGGAGATGGTCGATGCAAACATGGAACATTGGGGGTTCATCGTTTTCCGGACAGGACATGTCGAGAACTTCTACGACGAGACAAAGAGTCAGAAAGAGAAGGATGACGTCGCCTGGGCACGTTTCGAAGAAGCCTACTACACAGTCGCTACTCACGGGCTGAAGTATCAGTGGGCAAACCTAGGCGGGGACGAGCTGTCGGATGCGCACAACTCGCTGTTCATCGCGGTTCCTGAGCAACCGACCCCGACAATGGCCGACATGCGACACATTTTCCATCAGATAAGGGCCAATGGACAGATCCCAAACGGGATCAGAACAGACTGTTTCCTGGTGGCTGACATGTCTGCAGTGCCATTCGAATGGTTGTTGGAGGAGCCCATGTCATACACAGACATCTACATTCGGCAGTTCGCTGGGACTCACTCCATGGATGTTCAAGCCGTGGATCCTGATGTTGCAGAGACAGTATCGTCTGATGGAGGGTTTGCAGGAGAGATCAACGTGCCGTTGACGAGAGTGTATGACTGGTTGTACTACAGCCTGTTCGCGAAGTCGGACAGCTGGGATCAGAGGCATCATACTACAACGACACAGACTTGGACTATGGACTTGTGGGGTGATGACGAGGTTCCGCCTTCACATCCCAAGTATTAGGCACGTACGTGGCTCTTTTCAGTTCTGCGGTAGGCCAGCGATTGAGGGATATTAATCTTTGGGAACGGGTTTAGCTTGAAGCTTGATACTTGAATGGCTTTATTCCATATTAGAGAACTTCTAGTCGAAATTATCCACTCAAGTCAACCACCTGATAGTTAACCTAAGCTATAGTGAAGGTCTATTAACACCGCCGGAGCCAAACCCATCTGGGAGTTTGAAGCCAGGATAAGTCCTTTTCATGTGCTGACAGGAATCCTCAATGATATCGTAATCAAAGTGGAAGTCATAGAATTCCTCGGGTTTTGCTAAGCTAATGTGTTAGAACTTCACTTCGAAGGTTGATACACGGGTCTACTCACTCGGGATTCTCTCAACCGGCTGAACGAATTCCGAAGCAGCCTCTCTGATCTTCTCGGCCTCATCCTGCGCTGCATTGCTGAAGATAGTGACAGCACTAGCCCTGTTCCTCCTGATACTTTCAAACATCTCCAACCTTTCTGGGACATCTATTGACGAAGGCATATCGGAGAGACAGATGCCGAGAGCTACACCGTCTTCTATCGCTTGTGCGCCTCCCTGTCCTTGGTCTTTGCATGGTCAGTGATGAAGCGGTAATCCTTTGTTCAGCGAGATCAGGTCTTACGTGGGAGCATCGGGTGGGCAGCGTCTCCGATGAGAATCATTCTCCCCTTTCGCCACGTTGGGATGGGAGCTCTGTAGAGCAACGGCCATTGCTTGACCTCGGTTGCCTTGCTGTTACAAGTCAGTCACAAAAGTCTCCAGAAATAGTATAACATCAACGAACTTCAGGAGAGCAATCACACTCGGGTGAAAGTTGGAAAACGTCTCAAGCAGATGCGACTTGTCAACAGGGCTGTGCCAGTCTACTAAACGTCAGTGAGGTAATCATTACTTTGGTCCCAGCAAAATGCACCTTCTTTGGTCGAGGCCCCAACTTCGTTGTGGAAGATACCAATGCAATTGAGCACATGGCCGCTATAAAATGGTTAGCAATGAACCCGATCGAACTCGTGAGTGCACAAACTCTCGACAGGGATATGTAACTATCCGCTTCCCATCTCCTAGGAACATCCTGACGCTCCCACTTGCGTCATCGAATAGCTGGGCCGTCTCCTGGTCGCCGAGAACTTCCTCCATGGGAAGTAGAAAACGGTAACAGAAGTTATCTTGGCCAGCTGGGAATGCGGGATTCGGGGAACCTAGAACAGCCTCGACGCCGGCGCTGTGAATGCCGTCTGCCACAACGACGAGGTCTGAAGTGATCGTTGTGCCGTCGCTGAGGGTAATCGAAGCGTTCTCAGGGTGCTGAATTATAAGTACGGACGGTGCATATTCAGGCCATGTCGCAACACTTACATAGCTCGTTACCTCACTCCTCAATTTGATAGTCAACGGAGGACCGCCGTCAGCCGCGGTCGCCATACGCTTCAACTCGTGATGCAAGTCGACACGATGCGCAAAGTACCATGGTGATCCGTACTTATCCGCAATGATCCCAAGCTCGAGTGAGTGAACCAAGTCCAGAGTATCCCCTTTCAACCTCTTGCTGCCCTTGGCCGGCACGAATCTCGCGCGCACGGGGTCCATGCCGAGCGCAACCAAAGGTCGTGAAGCATTGGTCTGGACATTGATCGCCGCGCCAATCTCGTTGTTCAATGCCGACTTCTCGTATATGGTGACGCGGTGCCCTGCGCGGCGGAGCGAGATTGCGGCAGTCAGGCCGGCGATGCCGCCGCCGACGATTGTCACGTCTAGCATCTCAACTGACTGGAGGTACTGTTTCGTCTGAACGGTCCACCGAGAATGTATTAGTCGTCTCAAGATGTTAGATCAGGATAGCATCGCGTGTTGTAGATGGTAAGAGTTGGTGGGGTTTAAGTGACAGAGAGTGGGGTAGAGCGGACTGATCCTTAGAGGAAGACCCCTCAACTTTATCCCAAGTTTCCAACGTCTGCATGTGCATCTGATGTTTTGCTTCTTTAGACACTAAGATGCCGCTAGAGACATGCGTCGAGGCCGAGCGCTGGCTTTTCCCGGAGTTGCAGCTGACTAGACCAGCCACGCGCAAATGCATCTACCCTCAAGATGGCCGTGATCCAATAAGACCAAGGATCAGGATCGATTTCTCCGATGGCGTACTTATGAAGGCTTATTTTAAATGCTGTCATGCTCTCAAAGGCTTGTTTTTTTGCTCAGCTCAGTCTCCACGAAGCTTGTCATTGGATCGGCCTGGGCCAGCAACGGGAACCGGTGCATCAAGCTGGCTTGCATTGGACCGGACGGATCGTGGGGAAGCTCGACGGATGCCCGGGAATGAGATGGCTTAAACACTTAAACACGGTCGAACAATTTCTTTTGCAGTGTACCTGCCGGCCCGGAGCCAGGTGGCGGCTGGCGCAATTCGCATGCAGAAAAGTTCAATCGACGGCGCGACAAAAGCGCCAGCTCACACGCGCGTAAGGGTGTGGATGACCAGCCTAGATCAGCAAGCTACCGGGTGATAAAACCTCACCGAGCCGGCAGATATGACGTGTTGCACAAGCAAATTCACGAATGCATGATGAGTCATCTCTTAAGAAAGCCTGCAGATGAGGTTTTTGGCCGAGACTAAAAAGAACTTAACGTTGAAAGGCCAAAAACGCCTACGTTGCGGTCGATGATTGTTAGCTAACTACTTAGACCCTGTTACTGTAGCTGTGAGTTTGCTGACAACAGCTGTAAGCTGCGGTCAGAATATTTTCTCCTGCAAGAGACTGGAGTCCCTGGCTATGTCGTGGAAAATTGGGCAAGTGAGTGAGATAGGAGGGCCGTAACCGTTCAGCGGGAGAATTATGCATATGTAGGTCTGACAGCCAAGACCTCAGAACGCCTTAAGTCCTGCCTGACTGGCTGTGTAGACGCCAGCCTGATTGAAGAAGGGAGCTGGAGGTGAGTTTGGGGGTTCAAGGTCTACCCCGAAATCTGTGCGTGAGTAGTGCGCCCTCTCTTCTTCATATCTCGCACGTTCTGCCTAGGCAGTCCTCAGGCCGCGTCGTCCATAAACAGCGATGGCGGATCCTCTATCAATCGCTGCGAGTATCGCGGGTCTTGTAGGCCTTGCCGACATTGTCTTCGCCCGCTTGGTGAAGTTCGGGCGATCTGTCAAGAATGCAGAAGAGGAGATTCGACACCTCGCTCAGGAGATCAATCTCCTTGGAGGAGCCCTGAACAGCCTCGAACGACTAGCCCAGGTCCTGAAAGACGATGCTTTCGACACAAACCTACGAATGCACAACATCGACGACTGCAGGGAGACTTTGAAAGAGATAAACAAGAAGCTGGAAAAGCTGGAGGCCACTTCTAGTTTGATGAAGCAGAAGCTCATGTGGCCATTCACCAAAGACCGTGTGAAGGAATGGCTCGACGATCTGTCCAAACACAAAGAAAACATCAACCTAGCGCTGTCCGCCAATTCCCTGGATGCCATGCTACGAGTGTTGTCCCAGGAAGGCCATCACGCGACAGAGATTCTGGCCGAGATCAAGGAAACGCGGAAGATCACTAGTCGAATCCACCAAGACTCCGAACGACTTAAGGTCTTGAATTTCTTCTTGAAGTACAACCCACAGAAGAACTACGACATGAGCATACGCCTGCGACAGTCGGGAACCGGAATCTGGCTCCAAAAGCTCCAAGACTTTCAGCATTGGTTATCTGAACCCGGCTCTAAGTTGTGGCTCAAGGGCATCCCCGGCGCGGGCAAGACTGTACTTGCGGGCTCAATCATCGAGTCAGCTCTGAAAAGGAGCACTGAAGAAAGGCTCTGCAAAAGTTATTGAGGAGGATACTAGAGTTGTTCGATCACACTTATCTCGTAGTTGATGGCCTCGACGAATGTGGCAAATCAACTGACGAAGTGGTAGAGTGTCTGTTTGACATCTCGGAGGACGCTGACAATGTTTCAATTGCCCTTCTCAGTAGAGACGAGGATGAAATTCGAAGCCGAATAGAGGGCAGCTTTACCCCTATCGAGATTGCAGCGCACAAGGAAGATATTACCGAGTACGTCACGGCTGAAATTCAAGAGAGAATTCGGTCTAGAAGGTTGCGCATAAGCAACCTACATCTCAAGGGAGAGATCCTCCAGGGGCTGATTGACGGCGCTAAGGGCATGTAAGTTCAAGTTTGTTGACCTTTAGCTTTCATCTTCTATTATTCAGGATTAACGACATAATTAAGGTTCCGATGGGTAGCCTGTCAGCTGGATCATCTCGGAGAGTGCGATTCAGATCAACAATGCCGAGACGCCCTCAAGTCGCTGCCCCCGACCCTCGACGAGACCTATGAGCGGATCCTCAGACGAGTGCCTAAGAGCAAGCAAAACCTAACAGAACTAGCCCTCAATTGCATTGCTCACGCCTCACCAAAGCTTAATCTCCACCAACTACAGGAGATACTGTCAGTTCCAGAGCCTGGAGTATCGCTTGACGCCGGGAGCGTTATTCGAGAAGAGTCTATTACCCGATATTGTAGTAGCCTCATTCGAAAGTCCACGGATGGTCTCTCTCTGGAGTTTTCTCATTTTTCAGTGCTGGAGTTTCTTGAGAAGGCCCCCTCACAACACCAGGGATTCGAGTGGATCCGTGTCTCAAAGTCTCGGGCGTATGCTTTGTTGGCAGTCCAGTGCCTCAAATTTATCCAGCTGCAGAATTTCTACCAACCGAAAATCGAGTTACACACGGAAATAGACGAAATCGATTCCAGAAACCAACTTCATCCGTTGTATTCGCATGCCTCTACACGTTGGCCCGAATATGCAAAGGGAGAGTGGGAGAACGAGACGGTCTTCGACCTGGCGGTCTCCCTCTTCCACCCCTCCAAAACCTGTCACTTCACTTCGTGGGCAATTCATCTCGCCAGAGGAACCGGACTCGGCCCCAAAGGAAGTGTCGAGAAAACCGTTTCGCTTTTTATCAACCCCGACTTTACACCTCTGCATATGGCAGCGGCTCTTTCCCTGCCCCGGATCTGCTGCTTCTTGATGAAACACGGGGTGAGGGTGAATCTTGAGAGTCCTATGGGTCGACCATTGCAATGCGCGGTACAAAGCCTGCCAGTTGGATACTCCCTGTGGGCAACAGGCTCCCTGGAGTCCAATGGGGTTTTCGTCGTCCAAGATAACCAACAAGATCATATCGCCACTGTAGACACCATCAGGTGCCTATGCCGAGAGGGCGCACACCTAAATCTTCAGTGCTGCAACCCGTTTTCTGGCATGAGCCTGGTGCAGCTATCTCTCGACGCATTTCGGAGATCGCATACTTTTCGGGTCACGATGGCACTCATTAGAGAGGGAGCACGGCTTGAAGAGACTGACAGCCTCATCGTGCAACGACACATAGAAGACCTCGATCTTCAGAGATACGAGGACGAAGTTCGGGCATTTCTTGAATTCCTTGACAGTTGCTCTTATCAATCGACCGCTCATCATCGAATGAGCGCTGTTCTATGGAAGGGTGCAGTTGCTTGCAACCTCAAATTCACCAAGGACCCGACGATCATTGACACCAGGCTTTCCCTGACGAATGATGAGGTTGAGAAGCATGCAGTAGGAGCAGTCACTGTAGCAAACACTCAGGTCCTAGAAAAAATGCTCTGCGATCCACGTCTCAAAGTTGCGTCTGTTGTGGATGCCGACGGGGATTCACTGCTACATCTAGCTCTTCTTAGCTGCCGCGGAGCAGAGATAACGGCTCTACACGTAGAGATCGTCAAAAAGCTTCTTGACGCAGGATGTGACGTCAGAATGACCAACAGGAAGGGAATTGACCCATTACAGAGTTGGGACTGGTCGACCGATGATATGGAAAATCCCCCAACCAGCAAGTTGGAATTATTTGACGAAGTAGCCCATTTACTCGCAGATCATGGTGCGCGCTGTGATCTTCAGGACACAGAGAAACGGACTGCCTTGCATCTCCACATATCTGAGCCCTTCCGACTGCGTGCGTTGCTCAAGTATCAGCCAACAGAGAGCATTAAGAAAGCAATGGAGACGACGGACAATGATGGTTACACCCCACTGACTCTATGCCTGTGGAAGATGTTGACACGGTCGGCTTCGATTCTTCTCGCTCAGCAAACCACAATCACAGCTAAGATGACTCAAAGTCCAATCGCGGCACTATCACTTGCTGCGAGGGCGGGCGACGAAAAGACCTTCGATGCTCTGCTGCAATCCGGAATCAACTTCAGTTTTAAGGACACCGAAACTCTTTTGCATCATCTCGGCCCCAAGACATCATTGCATTTTGTCCGTCGACTGAAGGCTTTGTATCCAAAGTCTTCTGGACATCGCTTCAATAGCCACACGCCACTCGAATCCTACCTGATATGCTGTCTTGAAACCAGCGGAGTCAGGGACATCAATGACTCAATCATAGACGAACTAGCCATATTGGACACGTCTGAGAGCGAGGTCAGCAAAGCCATGACGTGGGAGTGCTTCACGTCCCGAATACTGAGCAGCACAATGCATTTGCCAAGATCATGGACCGGCATTCGCGAAGATTTGGCTGAAAAGGATGACAGACAGGTCATCAGCGAGAACGTAAGCATCAATCTGATACGGCTTGGGTATTTGAAATCCTTCGAGTCTTGCTTCGGAAAGTCCGCAATTATTCCTCTCATGCAGCCATTCAGCACTTTGACGGAACTTTCGAAACCTTGGTCTCGATTGAAAGATTTAGTTTCCGAAGTCCTCCGTCAGACGCAACATTGGGGATCTCTTCGGGAATTTCCTGGCATCATTCTCTTACTGAAGGTGGCAGCTCATTCATATAATTTCAGAATCGTCAAGTTGCTGCTTCAAAAGGAAGTCAGCGTTCATCAACGTGTCGATGGACTGTCTGCTCTGGAAAGCTTTGTTAAAACCCCGAGATTAGACGGTCTTATGCATACGTGTAGCGCCAAGTCAGAAGACACTGACGACGAGGAAAATTATTGCGCGAAGAGAATGCTTGATCTCTTACTCCGCCATTCCGACAAACTACGCATCAACGAGGTTATTCCAGATGGTAGTGGGCTTGCGCTAATCCATTTGCCGAATGCGTGGGGCGCGGAGTGGGTTATTGAGAAGATCGTGGATCACGGCGCAAATCCGAATCTCCGTGTAGACAAACACCCCTACACACCTGCGGCCGTCTACCAATTTCTCAAACACCGGTGTTGTTCCGGATACGTCAAAACCATTCTCAAAAAAGGAGCTGATCCAACGCTGACCGACGACTTCGGGTTTGACACGGCCTTGATAGCTGCAATGTGTCGAGCAGTACCAGTATTGACTGAGATCTACGACGATATCAAACAAGGCGCCAAGAAGGATTGGCACGATAAGATGGACTGGTGCAAAAAGTGTCGTCTTTCTGTCCCCCTGGAGAATATGTCCCTAATCTGCACGGGAGTCACCGCACTACATCTTGGAGCCTTGTCCCAGTCTACCGACGTGTTGTGCTTCTACAATGACCACAAACTCATGGAGGATCTTGAGGTGAGGTCTGACGAAGGCTTTACGCCGTTGCACTTCGCAGCATCACAGGGCAGCGTCAGTAATATCAAATACTTGTCCGCTCTGGGCTGCGATATCGACGCTCGTGGCAAAGATGGGAGCTCCCCCCTTCACCTTGCTGCAAGAAGCAACAAGATAGAGGCCTGTCGAGTGCTCATCAAAGCAGGATGCAAGTCGTTTGAGGATTCGGTCGGGATGACGCCTTTGCTTTATGCACACCAAGCCAGCAATGAAGAGCTTGCAAATTTGCTTGACACTGTGAAGTCGGGTTCTAGCGTTACACATGTTGAGATCGAGCGACGTCGAAAAAGATCGTTGGCCTTGTCTTTCAAGATTGCAATTGAAAAGGACGATTTGACGATGTGTAAATACTTACATACCAAGGAGTGCGATCTCGCGACTTATCTCAACGACTTTGCAAGCGGCTCACTACTGGTACAAGCTCTAAAACAAAAACGGATCGCGATCATTGAGTGGATGTTGCAGCAACGGGTCTCAATGACCAGTGCAGTTAGTGGTTCCAAGCCCGTTGAGTTAGCAATTCACCTGGTGCTCAAGGACGCCGAATTGGTGGACGTATTGCCGGCCAGTCTAGAGAACTATACAAAAAACGGAGGGAGGCTTTTAGGAGAGACCCCAAACTTGGTTTCAACAGCCGTGCGCAACAGAAATATCAAGGGATTGGGGGTTCTCATCCAATACGTGAAGGATAATCAGAACTACTGCGGGTCAGTATTCAAGGTTGAGTTAAGTTTTCATGTACAACGACTAACTTCCACATGCAGGAAACTTTGGTCTATACATCCTGATAGAGTTATTTCTTTTCTGGTGAACGAGGCTGAAACGTCAACCGGATTGACACCTCTGCACATAGCAGCAGACTGTGGGGCTTTGGGAGCTGTCCAGGTATTACTAGAGTCTGGAGCTGATATCAACGCTGAGTCTAAGTGGCTCGACACACCGCTGTTTCACGCCATCACTCCATTCAACAACACTGACGAAGCCGTTGCTTTACATCTGATTCAAGGAGGTGCAGATCTCGAAAGGCGCAATGTCTGGTACGAAACTCCAGCCATAGCGGCAGCGAAATTCTGGCGCAAACAGACATTGATGGCGCTGGTCAACGCGGACGTTGATATCAATGCATCAAACAACAATTTGCAATCACTAGCGCACTGTACAGCCGAAATGGGCAACGTGGTGGCGTTCGCAGACTTCATGCATAGAGGGGTGAACCCTTGTAGGGTGGATATTTTCGGCTTTTCAGCTTTC